CTCTACAACCCAGCAATTGCACTACTAGGCATCTATCCAAGGGATACAGGTGTGCTGTTTCGAAGGGACACATGCACCCCCATGTTTATAGCAGCACTATCAACAATAGCCAAAGTGTGGAAAGAGCCCAAATGTCCATCGATGGATGAATGGATAAAGAAGATGTGGTATATATATACAATGGAGTATTACTTGGCAATCAAAAAGAATGAAATCTTGCCATTTGCAACTACGTGGATGGAACTGGAGGGTATTATGCGAAGTGAAATTAGTCAGAGAAAGGCAAAAAAATCATATGACTTCACTCATATGAGGACTTTAAGAGACAAAACAGATGAACATAAGGGAAGGGAAACAAAAATAATATAAAAACAGGGAAGGGGACAAAACAGAAGAGACTCATAAACATGGAGAACAAACTGAGGGTTACTGGACGGGTTGTGGGAGGGGGGATGGGCTAAATGGGTAAGGGGCACTAAGGAATCTACTCCTGAAATCATTGTTGCACTATATGCTAACTAATTTGGATATAAATTTAAAAAAATAAAAAAAAACAATAAAAAATTTTTTTAATAAAATATAGATTGCTATCTACACAGTCTGTTCTATATGAACCCAATCAATGATAACCACAAATCAAAAACCTAAAATAAATACACAAAAAATAAAGAGAAAAGCATCCAATCATAATGCTAAAGAAATCCAGTAAGCCACAAAGAGAGCAAGAGAAAAGGATAGAGAACTATAACCAGAAAAAAAAAATAACAAAATGGCAATAAGTACATGCTTATCTATAATTACTTTAAATGTAAATAGACTAAATGCTCCAATCAAAAGACAGGGTGACTGAATGGATTAAAAAACAAGACCCATCTATATGCTGCCTATAAGAGACTCACTTCAGACCTAAAGACTCAAAGAGACTGAAAGTGAAGGAATGGAAAACGATATCCATGCAATAAAAAGGGAAAAAGAGCTGGAGTAACAATACAAAATAGACGTTAAAACAAAGGCTGTAGCAAGAGAGATATAGGGTAGTACATAATGATAAAGCGATCAATCCAACATGAGGGTATAGCAATTGAAAATATCTATGCACCCAATATAGAAGCACCTAAATACATAAAGCAAATAGTAACAGACATAAAGGGAAAAACTGACACTAATACAGTAATAGCAGGGGACTTTCACACCTCACTTAAATCAATAGATAGATGATCAAGACAGAAAATCATTAAGGAAACAGTGCTTTGGAAGATACATTAGACCAGACAGACCTAACAGATATATACAGAATGTTCTATCTAAAAACAGCAGTAAACACATTCTTTTTGAGTGCACATGGAACATTCTCCAGGATAGATCACGTTAGTCCACAAAATAAGTCTCAATAAATTTAAGGAAGACTGAAATCACATCAAGCATCTTTTCTGACCAAACGGTATGAAACTAGAAAACAATACTAAGAAAAAAAAAAAAAACACGAAAAAACACAAACACACAGAGGCTAGACAACATGCTACTGAACACCAATGGATCAATGAAGAAATCAAAGAGGAAACAAAAAAAACTTGGAGACCAATGAAAATGAAAACATAATGGTCCAAAATCTTTGGAACACAGCAAGAGGAGTTCTAAGAGGGAAGGTTATAGAGATGCAGGCCTACCAAAAGAAACAAGAAAAATCTCATATGAACAATCTAACCTTATACCTAAAAGAATTAAAAAAAGAACAAACCCTTGGGTTAGGAGAAAGTAGGAAATAATACAGTGGAAATAAATGATACAGATAAAAAAATAGAAAAGATCAATGAAACCAAGAACTGTTCTTTGAAAAGATAAAAAAAAAAAAAAAGCTGAGAAACCTTTAGCCATACTCATCAGGAATAAAACAGAACTGAAATAAATAAAATCAGAAATGAAAAAGGAGAGGTAATAACTGAGACCACAGAAATACAAAGAATTATAAGACACTACTATTAAAATATTATATGCAAACAAATTGCACATCCTAGGAGAAATGGATAAATTCCTAGAAACACATTCATCCAAAACTAAATCTGAAAGAAATAAAACATCTGAACAGACTGATTACTACTGATTCAATTAACAAAATTGAATTGGTAAATTCCCAACAAATAAAAGTCTGGGACCAGATAGCTTCACAGATAAATCCTGCCAAACATTTAATGAAGAGCTAATACCTGTTCTTAAACTATTCGAGAAAATAGAAGAGGAAAGAAAGCCTCCAAATTCATTCTATGAGACCAGAATTACCTTGATACAAAGATAGACAAAGACACTATAAAAAAAGAAAACTCTAGGCCAGTATCCCTGATGAACACACATGTAAAAATCCTCAACAAAATAATAAGCAAATCAAATTCAACAATACAATTAAAAGGATCATTCACCATGATCAAGAGGGATTTATTCCAAGGATGCAAAAGTGGTTCAATATTCTCAAGTAAGTCAATGTGATACATCACATTGACAAGAGAAAGGATAAAAACCACAGGATTATTTCAATAGATGCAGAAAAGGCATCTGACAAAGTACAACATCCATTCATGATAAAAACCCTCAACAAAGTAGGTTTAGAGGGAAAATATCTCAACATAATAAAGGCCATAAATGATAAACACAGTGTTAACATCATACTCAATGGTGAAAAACTGAAAGCATTTCTTCAAAGATCAGGAACAAGACAAAGATATCTACTCCCACCACTTTTATTCAACATAGTAGGGGAAGTCCCAGCTGCAACAATTAGACAAGAAAAAGAAATAAAAGGCATCCAAATTGATGAGGAAGTAAAATGGTCACTATTTACAGATGACATGATATGATACGTTTAAAAACGCCACCAAAAAACCCTTCTAGAGCCGATAAGTGAATTTAGTAAGTTGGAGTTTACAAAATTAATATACAGATATCTGTTGCATTTCTTTTTTATCTTCGCATTTCTATACACTAATAATGAAGTAGCAGAAAGAAAAATTAATCCCATTTACAACTGCACCAAAAAGAATACCAAGGAATAAACTTAACCAAAGACATGAAAGATCTATACTCTGAAAATGATAAGACATTGATGAAGGAAACTGAAGACAACATAAACAAATGGAAAGATATACGTGCTCGTGGACTGGAAGAATTAATATTGTTAAAATGCCCACTGTACCCAAAGCAAGCTACCAATTCAATGCAATCCTAATCAGAATACCAATACTATTTTTCATAGCAGCACAAATAATCCTAAAATTCATATTGAACCACAAAAGATCCTGAACAGCCAAAGCAATCTTGAGAAAGAAGAATAAAGCTAGAGGTATCACAATCCCAGATTTCAAGATATACTACAAAGCTACAGCAATCAAAACAGTGTGATACTGGCACAAAAATAGACACAAGATCAACAGAATAGGATAGAGAGCCCGGAAACAAACCCACGCCTATATGGTCAATCTCTGACAAAGGAGGCAAAAATATACAACGGGGAAAAGATAGTCTCTTCAATACTGGACAGCTACATGCATAAAAATGAAATTGGACCACTTTCTTACACCATACACAAAAATAAACCGAACATGGATTAAAGACTTAAATATGAGACCTGAAACCATAAAATTCCTGAAGGAAAACATAGGCAGTAATCTCTTGGATGTTAGCCTTAGCAACGTATTTATGGATATGTCTCCTGAGGCATGGGAAACAAACGCAAAAATAAACTATTGGGGCTACACCAAAATAAAAAGCTTTTCATAGCAAAGGCAACCATCAACAAAACAAAAAGGCAACCAATTGAATGAGAGAAGATATTTGCAAATGACATATCCGATAAGGGGTTAATATCCAAATATTTAAAAACTTCTACAACTCAACACCAAAAAAACAATCTGATTAAAAAATGGACAGAAGATGCGATTAGACATTGTTCCAAAGAAGACATCCAGGTGGCCAACAGACACAGGAAAAGATGTTCAACATCACTCATCATCAGGGAAATCCAAATAAAAACCACAATGAGATATCACCTCATACCGGTCAGAATGGCTAGTACCAAACAGAGGGAATTAAGTGTTGGCGAGGATCTGGGGAAAAGGGAAGCCTTATGCTCTGTTGGTGAGAATGCAAACTGATGCAACTACTATGGAAAACAGGATGGAGGTTCCTCAAAAATTTTAAAACAGAAATATCATAGGATCCAGTAATTCCACTACTGGATATTTACCCAAAGAAAATGAAAACATGAATTCAAAATGATATATACAGCCCTATGTTCACTGCAGCATTATTTACAATAGCTGAGATATGGAAGTAATCCAAGAGTCCACTGGCAGATGAATGGATAAGGAAAATGAGGTATATACATATACAATGGAATATTACTTAGTCATAAAAAAATAAGATCTTGCAATTTGCAGTAGCATGCATGGAGAATACTATGCTAAGTGAAACAAGTCAGACAAGAAAGACAAATACTATATGATTTCACTTATATGTGGAATATAAAAAAACAATACAAACGAAGTAACAGTAACAACAACAACAACCACAAAAACCCAGAGAACAGATTCATAAATAGAGAACAAACTGGTGGTTGTCAGAGGGAAGATGGAAAGGGGGATGGGCAACATAGGTGAAGGGGATTAAGAGGTACAGACTTCCAATTACAAAATACTTAAGTCATGGAGATGAATACTACAGCATAGGGACAGTCAATAATATTGTAACAACATTGCATAGTGACAGATGGTAAGTGCACTTATCATGGTGATCACTGTGTAATGTATAGAATTGTCAAATCACTATGTTGTACACCTGAAACCAATACAACATTGTATGTCGACTATATTTCAATAAAAAAAAAATTTTAAATAGTGATTTGGATACTCTGATATCTGAATCTCAAGCCCTTACTTAGTTAAAAACTTTAAGAGCCCACAGATTTTAAACACCATGGAAGCAAAAATCCTCCAAAGAGTGGTTGTCCTCACCCACTAAGACCAGGTTGTCATAGATTTCCAGCATCACCTCTTTATGTAGGGCCCCTTGTGTGGGGTCTAGTTGCCTCCACTCCTCCTCAGTGAAGTCCATGGCCACATCCTTGAATGTAACAGGTTCCTAAAACACCAAAGAACAGTAATTCCTCTTAAGCATCTACACCAATGATTGCGGTACAAAAGGCTAAACTTGGGAACACTGACAAAGGTAGACAGAATAAAGAAAACTTCAGAGTTCTGCCCCAAGACATAAGAATAATTAAAAGAGAGGTGCCTGGGTGGCTCAGTTGGTTAAGCGTCCAACTTCAGCTCAGGTCATGATCTTGCGGTTCGTGGGTTCAAGCCCCGCGTCGGGCTCTGTGCTGACAGCTCAGAGCCTGGAGCCTGCTTTGGATTCTGTGTTTCCCTCTCTGTCTGCCCCTCCCCTGCTCATGCTCTGTCTCTCTCTCTCAGAAATAAATAAACATTAAAAAATTAAAACATTTTAAAAGATAACATCTTATGCAGAGGTTCACTAACCCTAATAATACGAAGAGCTCTTAAAAGTCAATTAGAAGAAAAAATTGGCATTCTCTCTCTCCCTCTCTCTCTGCTCCTTCCCCACTCATACGTGCACTCTCTGAAAATAAATAAACTTAAAAAAAAAGAACCATACAAGTGAAAAGTCATCTGAATAATCTCTAAAAGAAAAATAAATGGCCAATAAACACCAGGTAAAAACTTTGGAGAACGATTTGGCGGTATCTATCAAACATATACTTTGATCTAACATTCCCAATTCTAGAAATCTATCCTCATTAAGATAATCAATGACTTCCTTGCTAATAGATCCAATGGAAAACTTTCAAGCTTTTTTATGCTTGACTTTTTCGCATTATTTGGCTCCACCCACATGGTCTTCCTCAAAACTCTCTCCTCCTAGAGCCTGGATATTATAGTAACCCAGTTTTTCTCCTGACTCTCTGATCACTCTTTCTCAATCTCTTCTTCTACTCATCAATGTTGGGGTTCCCAGGCCCTCCTCTCGCTCTCCCTATGTGATCTCATCTATTCTGACGGCTTCAAATGCCTTCAAATGCTGGCAACTCTCAAATGCACTTTGGCAGCCAAGACCTCAAGCCAGACCTAGAGTTCCAGACCCCATTAGCTGCATGATGAACATCCAGTGTGAAGTAGGTAATCGATTAATATCTACCAAATGAAATAAATACCCACCTGCATGTTTCAAAGCCATCTAAATCAACCTGCTCAATTCTGACTTTATCTCCCTTTCCAGATCTGCTTCCCTCCCAATGTTCCCTAATTCAGGCAACCACACCTCCACCACTCAGATGTTCAAGTCAGCAAAAGAGCCATCATCATTTCCTTCCTCTGTGTCCTCTCTCACACCTGCTCCATCACTAAATCTTCCTAAAGATCTCTCTTCTCTCTGCTGACACCACTTTTCTGAGCCACCACCTCACCTCTGCCTCCTAACTGGTCTATACCATCTTGCCTCCCTGCAACATAACCTCTACTCTGGCCCCTCTTATTGTGACCAGTCCTTAAATAGTTGTGTTCCTCAAGGCTTTTCTCTAGTTACCTTCTTTTTCTTCTTTTGTCACATATTGGCTGGATGATCTTAACCAAACCCATGACTTTAGTCACCACATACATGGTGACAACTCATAAATTTGTATCTTTAACCTGGATCTGTCTCAGACCTTGATATCTTTCTTCTAGACTTCTTTAATTGGATGTCCCAGAGGCACTTCAAAGTGTCTTCTAACTCCCCCTCCACACACACACACACGCAAACACACAAGTACATACACATTCCATCTCCTCTGTTTCTTATCACAGTGAAGAGCTCACCATTCACCCAGTCGCCCAAAACTTGTGCTTCAGCCTTAACCAGGCCCCTTTCCCCCACTCCCCACAACTATGCACAGACCCATAGTGTTTTATCTGTTTTAGATACAAACTTGAAGATGTCCATATTCTTTATATACTTATTTATCTACAAGACAGCTTCCATTTCATTTCAAAGTTATAGTTCAACATTAAGTTCACTGAACTCTGCCTAATTAGGCACGCTAACAGATACATTTATCATTAAACAAATCTAAGGATTCCTTGATCTATCATTCTTTTTTGGCAACCCAGCAACTTTAAACACCCTAAGTCTAAGGAGTTTTTCACTTTATGAATCTGTGTGTCCTCAAGATAAAAGCCAGAAACTTGCTTGCCAGCATCCCTCGTAGCTTGATCAGCCAACCAGAGGTACTTGCACAAGTTTTTAATTCAGAAGCTAATGGTTGGAAAGAGTAAGGATGGCATCAGAGGCATCTAGTTACAGAAGCAGTAGAAGCAAATGTTCTGGGGTGGTGTTTGCAGCCCTGGGTCAGCAGTGCAAACTGAGTGCCCAGCAGAAGTGGTCGCTCCATTGGGATGGTCCAACTGTGGGATTTGAGCATCGTTCCAAATTGTGTGGCTTCCAGGCCTGTCTTTCTGGCCTTTGAAGAGATTCTGCGAGCTACCAAATATCCCTCAATAAATTCCTTTTAGCTAATGAGGATTTTGGCTATTTGAACAGTTGGCATTAGAAAAATCTATTATGTAATCATAGCAAGTGAAAAAGGAAAGTTTATGTGATCATCTCACAGGATGGCAAAACAACATTTAATAAAATAAACTTCTGTGTCAACTATACTTCAATTAAAAGAAAGAAAAAAGAAAATAAACGTCCAATTTAAAAACCCTTCTAAAGGACAATGGTTTAGGTAGTTGGGATACATCAGTGAAATAAACAGAGGAAATATAAACCAAAATGAGAATAACATATCAATATGCAATGATGATTTTAATTTTTTTTTCAACCTTTATTTATTTTTGGGACAGAGAGAGACAGAGCATGAACGGGGGAGGGGCAGAGAGAGAGGGAGACACAGAATCGGAAACAGGCTCCAGGCTCTGAGCCATCAGCCCAGAGCCTGACGCGGGGCTCGAACTCACAGACCGCGAGATCGTGACCTGACTGAAGTCGGACACTTAACCGAATGTGCCACCCAGGCGCCCCAATGATGTCTTTTTTTTAAAACAACAGCCATTTGCTTAGGAGTTCAAAACCCTTCTGATCATATTGATGACTTTTGACCCCCATTTTCACAAAATTTATAGTTTTTACTTGACTAGGAAGATATCATTCCTATTTTCAAGCAAACTTATAGATTCTTGAACTATCTTATAGACTAACTACTGACTGTAAACATAGCTGCATTCATACCCAAATAGAGTGGCTAGGTATTAAAATGCCCTTGATAAGAACTGGCAGTTTGCACAATAGATGAGCATGTGTCCTATGAACTGAAAATGATTTTATGGGATTAATGAAAAGCTAGTGCTTTTCTTCCCAATTACTGTACTATAAAACAACCAATATGAATAAGGATGTGACAGATCTTTTAGTGTGCTTATTTGTATTTATTATGGTTCTAGAAGAAAGATTAAGTTGTACTGTAGGAAGACTCTAAGAATGAAACTCAATGCCTTTTATAAAGATTTAAAATAATTCACTAATGATTTGTCAATCTTGAAATTCAAACACCAACATCAATAATATTCAGTGTATAATAATCATAACTCATTTTCTAGGACTATGTATTATATGTGACTTAAAGACTGAAAATTAATAAAGGAAACCTCGGTTAGAATGGAGCCAGGAGGCCAGCAGGGGGAGCTCTCACACACTACCAGCGGATCAACTGCAGACCCAACAGGAGAAGCACCTGTACCTTGCAAGTCCACACTAATTTAGCTACTACTTCGCTATCCCAGCAGAAGGAAGAAAGGTTTCCTCCTTCCCTGACAACAGCCCAGCCGATGAGAGGCTGTCACAACTCAGCCACTATATGGGGCACCTGGGTGGCTCAGTTAAGTGTCTGGCTCTTGATTTTGGCTCAGGTCATAATCTCACAGTTCATGAGATCGAGCCTCACATCAGGCTCTGCACTGATAGCATGGAGCCTGATTGGGATTTTTTTCTCTCTCCTCTCTCTGCTCCTTCCCTGCTTGTGCGTGGGTGCTGTCTCTCGCGCACGCGCTCTCTCGCTCTCTCTCAAAATAAATAAATAAACTTTAAAAAGCCACTATTCAAAATGCCTAGTTTACTCCAATGGACTTTTTGTTTATAACAGCCCTCCCAACTTCCCCCACCCCCTTCCTCTATAAAAGAGCATTCCTCTCCTTTGTTCTATAGACTTGACTATGGCTTTGCCTTAGCTTGCTTGTCTCTGGTTGCAATTCTCTGCTATTCTTGAATAAACCCATTTTTTGCTGGTAAAATAAGTGGTAGTTTTAATAAGACATATTTAAGACATATGTTCTAGATAACTAGCCCCTATCTTAATTCTGTTTCTCAATCATCACAAACTTATTTCCTATATAAGTCATTTGTTATCATGCAGTGAATGCAAAATTGCTACATCCAGAGATATAGCAACCTCAGAAACAAAGCTGATCGAAATAAATTCCCAATAATTAGGCATGTTCATACGGTAGCACTCAATTTCTTTCTTTCTTTTTTTCATGTTCATGTATTTTTGAGAGCGAGCGAGTGTGAGTGGGGGAGGTGCAGAGAAAGAGGGGAACAGAGGATCCAAAGCCGGCCCTGCACTGATAGCAGAAAGCCCAATGCGGGGCTAGAACTCACAAACCATGAGAACATGCCTGAGACAAAGTAGGATGCTCAACCAACTGAGCCACCCAGTTGCCCCTGTATCACCCAATTTCAATTCTTAATCATGAGAAGTGTTTGGGAACTCCCTGTAAAAATGAAAATATTCACATTGGTCTTGAATATAGAAACAATGCTAATATTTTGACTTGGTCTTGAATATCAGGATATTGACAATATTTGTTAAAGAGTCTGTTTTATAAATTTACAAATATAAAATCGGATTTATCTGTAGTCAATAATGAATAATCACATCAGTTACATTTTGTTATTTTCTAAAATGCATTCCTAAATATAATAGAGATGTATCATTATAAATGCCTAAAGCCACAGTTTTTAATGCCCAACGCTAGGTTTTATTCCGGCTGTTAAAGAAAAAGCAACATCAAGTGTATATACAGCTGTAC